GAGATATACAAAATCTGGAGTGGAAACGGGTGTTAATTTCGCGTTTTATGAGCTTCATGGATATTCATGGATATTCAAAACCCTTTGTGGGGGAGGTGGGCAGATATATCCCATCTTCAAATCAGATCGTGTGTTAGTGGAAATAATGGGATGTGTGAGATATGTAGAGGACCGGATGCTAATTGTGGATTTTATGATCGTTTTGGTTATTCAAAACTTTAACCCTTTGTGGGGGGAGGTACCAGTAGGAATGGTCCGATCTCTACCATATTTATAAAAGATCTTGTGTTGATAGAAATATTGAGATGTGGCAAGTCTGATTGGAATCGGATGTTAATTTCATGTTAATTGGGGCATGTTGACACTTTGGGGGAGGTACCAGAAGGGGTGGACCGATATGCTCTATCTTAATATCAGACCTTGAGTTAATAAAAATATTGGTATGTGTGAAATTTGAGGACTATCGGACTCTTACCTAACATTTTAAAAGAGTTATAATTTTTCAAAATGTTGACCCCTTGTGGGGGAGCTACTGGATGGATTGGACCGATATTGCCCACCTGACCTAGAACTGATGCAAATATTAGGATTTTCAAAGTTGGAGCAAAATCGGATTATCCTTTATCTTTCTGTGCAATAAATAATTTTCTTTGAAATTTTTGACATTTTGTGTGTGAGGTACCAGAAGGAGTGGACCGATAGTGCCGAATTCGATCTAAGTTTGATAATAATATTACGATATACCCAGTTTGGATCAAATCGAATACTCCCTTCGAGAGTTATCGTGCGCACAAGCCAGTCATACGGACCGACGGGCATCGCTAGATCGACTCCAAATGTCCTGAAACGGATTTGGTTCAAAGAGTCTAAGGGTCTAAATCCGTTATTTCGATGAGGCACATTTTGGCCGTATCGAATACCGAATATCGGTGGGTATCGTTATATAAGCGCTGTAGGAAAACGTGGACCTAAATATTCAATGTTCTGCCGCCGAAGCTAGAACCCATTATGAACTACAAATACCAATTATTGGACAAATCCGTGGAAAAACGTGGCAAAAATCTTCAAAATACTGAATATCCGAAGGTACCATTATATGGGAGCTGTACGAAAACTTGGAACTATATATGCTATGTTCCGCCACAGGACCTATCAACCATTATGAATAACAAATATAAATTTTCGGATGAATTCGTGAAAAAATGTGGCAAAAATCATCAAAAAAACTGAATATTCAGAGGTACCATTATGTGGGGGCTATACAAAAACTTGGACCTATTGGATGCTATGTTCCGCAATAGGAGCTAGCAACTATTACGAACTACAAATATCAATTTTCGGACGAATTCGTAAAAAATGTTGCAAAAATCATCAAAATACCGAATATCGGGAGGTACTGTTATATGGGGGCTATACAAAAACATGGACCTATACATACAATGTTTCGTCACCGGAGCTGGAACCTATTATGACCTACAAATACCAATTTTTAGACAAATCCAGTGAAAAAAATATGGCGAAAATCATCGAAATGTCGAATAACGGGAGGTACCGTTTTATACCAAACCGTGGACCTATACATACAATGTTTCGCCACCGGAGCTGGAACCTATTATGACCTACAAATTCCAATTTTTAGATAAATCCAGTGAAAAAAATGTGGCAAAAATCATTAAAATAACGAATATTTTGATTTACTTTTATATAGGGGCTATAAAAAAACGTGGACTTACAATGTTTCGGAGCTAGAATCTATTATGACCTCCAAGTACTAATTTTTGAATAAATCCGCGAAAAAATGTGGCGAGAATCATCAAAATACCGAATATCGGGAGGTACTGTTATATGGCGGCTATACCAAAACGTGGACCTATATATACAATTTTTCGCCACCGAAGCTACAACCCATTGCGAACTACAAATACCAATTTTTAAACAAATTCTGGACACAATACAAATTGTTCTGGTAAATTTTAAGCTCTACGTCAAATAATGTGGGCTATATCGTGATTTCAGAGGGACATCGTTAATTAGTGGAGGGTGGGGGGTATAAACATATTCTACTCTGAGTGAATCTACTCCCACACTAATTTTTTAACAAGAGTGACTCAGGAGTGTTCCCACACAAAACAAAAGAGTGATGAGTAGACTCCGTAAAAAAACTTCCACTCTCTGAGCAATCCTGCTCGCGAGCAAGTTTCGCTCCCCTGTGAAAATGAACAAATCTGAGCTCTGAAAAAAACCGAAAATTAGGTGTGGTTAAATTAAACATTAATATGGAATGCACTTTATAAATCCATTATTTAGAAAGGACTTCTCCTGCTTTGGGGCACTCAACTTGGTAGGACTCAACTTGGTAGTTGATGAATATCTTATTTAGCTAAAGCAGGAGATATGAAGTCGTCATTATTTTCTGCCTTCTGGCAATACATAGGGTATCTATCAGTACTACATAGTAAGACAGAAGATGGCACATGTGCCTACCAGTTTTAGCTGGGTAAATAAAACCCCTTATTTTGTAATCCGAATTTTGCCGGGTAGAAGATCTACTTGTTCCGAAGTCAAAATATGTTATATATTTAAAAGTGTCATTGTAGCATTATTTAAACACTCATTTATAGTACTTTGGGACCCTCGCTGTTAGATAAGTGGATTACTTGACTCAAAACAAAACAAGTTCTTAATATTTCTTTTAAGCTCTTTTAATTTATAAAAAAATAAAACAAAACAACCACTTTGAATTATGAATGCAGTGGCGATGTGCTTAGAAAAACTTCTAAATCAACTTGTGTTCACCCTGTCATTTGGTTGCTAAACCACGCCAGCTGTTATCTTTATTGTTTGAGCAAAATTAAAAAATAACTACTTGTCATTGCGGAACACTTAATGCGAGCGAGCGAGTGCCAAAGATATTAGCAATTGTTCACAGTGTTAATGAAGTTGTATTTAATTAACAACAGATGGTTCACTCTTGGCCAGAGATGATATGTATGGAGGTATATAATCGTTAAAATTTGTAAAATGTCAATATTTGGCACAACTTTAGTTTAGTAACACTCTTCGATTTTTTTTTCGAAACAAAAAGGCAAAAAAATATTTTCCCGGAATAAGGGTAAAAATACCTACCACTAGAAAAAGTTAAAAAAATGAAGAGTTTTTACTAAACTAGAGTTTAACCCGTTATGGACAATATAGGTATCGTTTGAAAGTCTATCTTTTCAACAAGCGGTTCGGAAATTATAGTTAAATGATCGATTTTTCGACCCGGATTTTATATAAAACCCCCAAAAATTGTCTGAAATTCTACACAAAGAGTTCTTTTTATGTGTACTTTACCCCCTGGGAGAGAATTGTCTAAATGGGTCCACGATATTGTATAGCCCCCATACAACGGTACTCCCAGTTATTCGGTATTTTGATGATTTTAGCCACATTTTTTAATAGAATTGTCTGAAATTCTACACAAGGAGTTCTTCGTGACTACTTCATCACCTACCCCCCGATATTCGGTATTTTGATAATAGGAATGAAATTGTTTGAAAATCTACAAGAGGAGTTCCTTTTGAGTACTTTACTCCCTGGAAGATTTTTATCTATATAGGTCCACGATATCGTATATCAACAATATAACGGTACCTCCCGACATTTAGTATTTTCATGATTTTAGCCACATTGTTCAATGAAATGATCTAAAAATCCATACTAGAAGTTCTTCCAACCATTTTACTCCCTGGAAGAGAAATGTCTATATAGGTCCACTATATCGTATAACCCCCATATAATGGTACCTCCCTATTTTCGGTATTTTGATGATTTAACGACATTATTCACCGGAATTGTTTCAAATTTGGTAATTGAAGTTCGTAATGGATACTACAGCCTATAACAGAAAAGTGTCTGTGCAGGACCACGTCTTTGTGTAGCCTCCATATAACGGTAGCTCCCAATATTCGGAATTTTAATGATTAAAGCGACATTATTCCCCGGAGTTGTTTCAAATTTGGTATTTTAAGTTCGCAATGGATACTACAGCCTATGACAGAAAATTGTCTCTGTAGGTCCACGTCTTCGTATGCCCCTCATATAACGGTATTTCACGATATTCGGTATTTTTATGATTTTAGCGACATTATTCACCTGAATTGTTTCAATTTTGGTATTTAAAGTTCGTAATGGATACTACAGCCTAATACAGAAAATTGTCTGTGCAGGTCCATGTCTTGGTATGGCCCTCTTATAAAGGTACCTCCCGATATTCGGTATGTTGATGATTTTAGAGAAAAATTTTCACCGGAATTGTTTCAAATTTGGTATTTAGAATTCGTAATGGGAACTACTACTATGACAGAAAATTGTCTATGCAGGTCTAGCTCTTCGTGTAGGCCCTACTTATCAGTACCTTCCTATATTCGGTATTTTAATAATTTTAGCTTCTTCTTCTTCTTCACCGATTTTTTTCAAGTCTCGTATTTGAATATTGTAATGACTTATGACAAAAGTTGGCTATACAGGTCCGCATCCTCGTATAGACTCCAGTATAAAGGCTATATTCGGTATTTTTAGGATTTTAACAGAATTTTTAGCGGATGTTATTTTTTTGATAATTTCCAAATTCCTTCCAAATGGTGTAGGGTATTGAAAGTTCGGCCCTGCTTTTTTGCTGGATAATGATTATTTTGGCTAGATAGGGGACTTTATCGGCATGAGAAGTTCACCAGTCCAACTACGGTGATTTCCTTACAAATAAAACACTCGTCAAGTTGAAGATTTCCTAAATTTCTACTCCAAATACATTTTCTATCTCTGTCTCGTTCACTTAATCTTTAACTCGAATCACTAACTCGCAATTGAACAGAATCAATTTATTACCAATTCAGCAAAAACTAGAATTTATTATTCAAGTTAGCCTCGGTTGCGCACCGACCACCTGATTTAACATTATTATCAATTGCTATTCGAAAATTCCAAAATAAAACAAAAAAACAACAAAATCTACTTACATTTGATTGATGTTTCAAATCTTTGCTAAACAACGAAGGCAAAAATGTCGATGTAGAACTGGACAAAATTGTGTGATCCTCAACGACGGCATCAAGTTGTTTGTACAAATTGGTTTTCATATCCAGACGTTCAGGAATGCATTCTTGTATAAAAATTGCACCCTTTACCAATTCCTTCAAATCATTTGTGCCCGACATGCAGGCAAATTGTTCACTGGCCTTTAGTTTACCCCTTAGCAGACCTTTGGCTTCCAAAGAGTTCAGTTCTTTTTGGGTCTCGCGCAAAGCATTTGCCACCTGTTCGGGTTGAATGTCATACAACATCACCTGATAGCCCACCGAGGCGAAAAGCATAGACCAGGAACGGCCAATCAAGCCACTGTAAAACGAAAAAATATTCAATTATTTAGAAATACAAATTATTTGGGTCAAATCATGCCGTCGTCGTTGTTGCATTCAAGAAACCGGCCATTAAACGTGTCAGTGTACCACCCCTTGCTATCACCCCTCGTCCCACCTACGCCTCACTTACCTTCCGACAATGCCTATCTTTTCTCGTTTACCGGTTGTGGCCATTGTTTTGCGTCTTTTTTGTGCCGGTGGACTTATTTTTACTTGATTTTATAATTATGTGTTAGGAAAATAGTTTTGTTTTTTTTTTTGTTATTGGTTTCGGTTTATTGGCCAGCGGAATGCTTTATTAACCGAACTGTATCACAGCTAAACAACTTTTAATTTTTATTTTGATTAATTTCCATTAATGAAACCTCTGTTTTGGTACTCAATTAAATTGTTAATAGTGAGCGGGAGCAAGCGAGAGAGTAGCAATAACATTTGTATTATTCCGCTCTCAGTCTCATTCACATAACAAATAGGAGACTTATAATGGCAAGAGTAGGCAAAGAAGAATTTTTTAATTTAAAGTAAAGAACTCGAAGATAATTTCAATTTTTTAAATTTAGAACAACTCACACAAACATTAATTAAAGAAAGTAATCAGTAGATTATGAAAGTAGAGCTAAAAATAGAAAATACATTTTTCGGCGTTTCGACAGTTTGTACCGCAAAGTGAGGGAGCAAATTTCCGCTTTATGTTAATTTTTTGACATTTTCGGATAAAGATTTCTTAAAATCATTCAAGGTTATGTATATAGTGAATTTAATCCCCAGTGAATTACCAAAGAATAAACTTCTTGGTCCACTTTTATTCCATACCATAAAAATGTTTGTTTAATTTTCGCCGAAAAAATTGTTTTGTTGGTAACACCTCCAAATATACATTTAAGACCCCGCTAAATATGTGAATACATTATTGATCAGCACAAAATTATATGTCAATTTAGCAATGTCAGTCTGTCATTAAAGCTTTCGAACGAAATGAAGTAGCTTGGTAAGAGTTTACTTAGATGAAACTGCACATATAGGTCCAAGTATTGGTACAGACCCATACATTTATTTGGGGGTTTAAGTCCAAACTTTTTTCGGGCCTTTGTTTAGCCTTAAGCTTAGACAAGAGACTCGTTTATTTTTATTTAATAGAGCTTTGACATTTTTAGGGAGGTTTGAATTACTACCAACAAAATTCCGACTCCAAGTACTTTTTACGTTTTATTCAAATTTTCCATTTAGTTTTTCCAAACGTTGGTATTTTGTAGATAGTGCTATGTACAAACCCTTATGAAGAAAACCTGGTAAGAAAATGTCAATATAGGTCTATGTTTTGCTATATTGCTTATAGAAATACACCTCCTGCTTCTAGTAGATCCTAGAACCTCCCCTGTAAAATTTTCTCAAAATTTGGTTCATATTTTTTATTCCACACGACTTTGACCTTTTTCTTACTGGGTGTTTGTTGAGAACTTTTATTTGTACGCCGTCACCTCTTACAATTATTGGTCTTATTGCATTGCTCTATTGGAGTGTACCATATTATTTGTATCTCTATTACCTGTAAAACTCTTACCTAAATCACTGCTCTTAAAAATTATAATTCTCTTAAATTTAGTGCCATCAAAATACCCATTTGGAAAAATATGCTTTAAAACAAAATTTATTTTTTTTAGAAACTCATATATGAAGTTTTTTGAGAGCTGTCGGAAATTGTTAAAAAAAAAAAAACAAGTAAAAAAGATGTAAGTTCGACCGGGCCGAACTTTGAAAACCCTCCACCATTTGGTACAAATTTGGCAATTTTCAAAAAAACTAAAATCCGTTAAAAATTCTGTTAGCATTATAAAAATACCGAATGTAACCGTATATTAGGGTCTATACGACGACGTGGACCTGCATAGGCAACTTTTATCACAAGCTATTACAATATTCAAATGCGAAACTTGAAAAAAATCTGTTTACAATGTAGCTAAAATCATCAAAATACCGAATATAGGGAGGTATCATGGGGTTATAAAACGTGGACCTGCACAGACAATATTCTGGCATAAGCTGTAGTATCCATTACGAACTTCAAATACAAAATTTGAAACAAGTCCAGTAAATAATGTCGCAAAAATTATCAAAATAACGCATATCGAGAGGTACCGTTATATGGGGGCTATAAGAAGACTTGGACCCGCACAGACAATTTTCTGTCACAGGCTGTAGTATTCATTATGAACTTCAAATACTAAATTTGAAATAGTTCCGGTAAATAATGTCTCTAAAATTATCAAAATACCCAATATCGGGAGGTACCGTTATATGGGGGCTATACGAAGATGTGGACCTACATGGTTCATTTTCGGTCTTAGGATGTAGTATCTATTACAAACTTCAAATATCAAATTTGAAACGATTTCGGTAAATAATGTCGCTAAAATCATCAAAATACCGCATATCGGGAGGTACCGTTATATGGGGGCTATACGGAGACCTACATGGCTCATTTTCAATACCAAAAGTCCTGCAGACATAATACACATTTGAGTAAAATTTTATCAACCTACTTCATTTTGTTCGGAAGCTAGAGTGATTTCCACAGACGGTCAGACGGACGGACTTTGCAAAATCGACATAGAATTTTATGCTGATTAAGAATATATATACTTTGTGGGGTCTAAAATGTATATTTCGAGGGGTTACATACGGAATGACAATCTTAATATACCCTCCATACTATGGTTGAGGGTATAAATAATGGTCCAGCCTCTTAGTCTAAATTTTGACATACTCTTTCCAATTGAATTTACTTTTTCTATATAGACATGAGATTTAACATAGCACAACAAAGATATTCTAAAGGCGTTAAATCGCACATCCTAGGCGGCTAATTGACCGGTCACGAATGTGAAATAACGCCAAACCGCAAATAAACCGCACCAAACTGCGACTTAATACATTGGAAGTTATTGCCATTCTTCTGGCTGATCTTCACTCTGAAATTGACTTAATTACGTACCCAATGAACAAAAATGAAACTGACCAAAAAATGGAAAAAGCTCGTGATGAGCTTTCTTAACGGAGCTCGCATTTTAATAAAAAAATTAATGATTTACAAGTGTTGGTCGTTTGAAGGGCGATTCATGGTTAAATTTAAGAGCAAACTGAAGACGTTTGACAGTTAAACAAAACACGAGGAATGTGTTAACTGTTTACATCAGTGTTGCCAAATAGATAATAGTTAAAAAATCGCAATTTATAATATGTGCAAAGAAGATGTTACGTTTGCTTTGTATAAAATTTATAGAATAACCAACAAACATACAAAACTCAATATTTTAAGTAGAGATTTTAATTAATGTGTATAAAAATCCAGACGATGGTGTTTTTATAAAAATGAACCCCCACCAAAAAAAAAAAAAAAAAAAAAAAAACAATCAATAACAAAAAATTCTCATTCGATTTAAGTTAAAATGGAATTGACATTTCTTTTTATTATTTCATATTCATATTCTACTCGTAATAGCTATGAAAAAATATATTCATTTATGTAAAAAAAGAACTAACTAATTATAGTATATTGAGGCCAAATATCACTGATTTTTTTTAAGTATCCAAGTGAGAAGATTTGTAACCTAACTCGCCCATTGTTGTGTTTTTTTAAAATATTTAGGAAAAAATTATCCCTTAGGGATTTTCTTGGGTAGTCGCTTTTGTTGTTGCTGTAGTTTCTGTTGTAATACTTCGTGGTAAAAATAGAATTAAAATAGCACAGGATAGCATGGCAAAGCAGGATATGTAAAAAGTCATTTCACAGCTATCGGCAATCAAGGCACCCACAATATTCGTACCGACGACACTGCCGATGCGGCCCATCATCAGGGAGACACACATGGCCATGGCTCTGAAAAAGGAAGAAATTAATTTATGAATTTTGTTGTAGCATAATTCACCTTCAAACTTACCTCAATTTCGTGGGATACAAATCAACGGTAGCCGCACCCAAAACATTAATGGATATACCCACCAAAAAAAGTAGCACATACAAAATGGCCGATATCGAGGTGTAGGGTAGCCAAATGGCGGCCAGACCACAGGAACTACAGGACAATATCATAATGACCATTATACATTTCTTGCTGACGCGGTTTATTATCACAGTTATAACGGCATATGTTGAGACATATATGATTTCCATGAGCAGAGAATACATGTAGGTGGTATTCTCCAGTTTATCGGGACAATCAATGATGGTCTGGGGGAGGAGAGAAGGAGGAAAATCAATACTGATGATTATAATAACAAGTTAAATGGTATCAGTCGGGTTTGCCGACAGATTTATACCCCCAGCTTTGAGTTATGATTATTTAAACTTTTGACCCTTTATGGGAGAGGTTCTGAACAGTTGGTCAATGTTTAACAATTCGTATATGACCTGAGGTAAATTCTGTATTCATATCTGATTTCTGGTTAAGAAAAATATTTAGATATATCAAGAATCTCCGACTTGTTTTACAACAAGGTATCAGAAGGGTTTGGCAGATATATATAATCTTAGAAATGTTGAGATATACCAAGTCGGAATTGAATCGAGTGTTCATTTCGCGTTTTATGAGCTTCATGGATGCTCAAAATGTTGAGCCTTTGTGGGGGGTGGTTCCAGAAGGAATGGACCGATATATCCCATTATCACACCAGACCTTGGGTTAATAAAAATATTCTGATGTGTATAATTTGAAGATTTTATGATCATTTTGGTCATTCAAAACTTTAGCCCTTTATGGGGGAGGTACCAGAAGAAATTGTCAGATCTCTATCATCTTAATAACAGAACTTCTGTTGATGGAAATATTGAGAAGTGTTAAGTCTGAATATAATCGGATATTAATTTCATCTTTTATCAGGTACCAGGGAGGTACCAAAGGATTGAACCGCTGTATTTCATCTTCACACAAGACCTGCGGTTAATAAAATTATTGTGATGTGTGTAATTTGAAAACTATCTGACACTTACGCAACATTTTATAAGAGTTATAATTATTCAAAAACCTGTGTTGACCATTTGTGGGGGAAGTACTTGATGGAGTGGACCGATATTGTCCATTTTCGGACCTGCCCTTTCGGATTATTCTTTCTCTTTCTGTGCAGTAAATTATTTTCTTTGAAAATGTTGACATCTTGTGTGGGAGGTACCAGAAGGAGTGGACCGATATTGCCCATCTCCGAACTCGATCTAAGTTTGGCAATAATATTACGATGTACCAAGTTTGGATCAAATCGGATACTCCCTTCGAGAGTTATTGTGCGCACCAGCCAGACAGAAGCACGGACGGACGGACTTCGCTAGATCGACTCCAAATGTCCTGAAACGGATTTGGTCCAAAGAGACCTAGGGTCTAATACCGTTATTTCGATAAAGCCATATGTCTGAGGGTATTAAAACTGAATTTTGTCCCTAATATTAAACCACAACCTACCGAATTATCTACATTCTCATTCAAATGCTCATTTTTATAGTAGACAATTTCACAGAGATATTCATTTTTTCCCGGATTATTTTTCATAAATTCACCCATGGCATTGATGATGTACGGAAACCACATGTACAGACCATTCGTGATGACATATAGCCAAAACTGTGTTATACACACAATTGTCGTGGAGCGTAGATATTTTCTTTGGAATAGCGGCACCGTTTGATTCCACATGGTTTGTAAGAAGCTCAATATGCCGTATGATTTTTTATTCTTTGAACTTTCAACATCTTCATCGGTGTCTTCTTCGGATAGAAGGTGGGGTATCTGAAAAAAAGAAAGGCGATTAATTATTATTTAATACTATAGAGTATCAGTCGGTTTATGCCGACAGACATATAACCTTAGCCTATGTCCCTTTATTTCAACATATTCTGATTTGCGTTGTTTATTTAAAATGTTGACCCTTTATGGGAGAGGGAATGAAGGATTGGACCAATATTCTTCATTTTCGCACCTGGTCTAAGCCTAATATAAATAATACGACGTGCTAGGTTTGAACTATGTGGACTACTTCCTCCAATATGAAATCTATGTATAAAACATCAAAATCGGTCTACTAGCCTAAATATGGTTACAAATCTTGATTCTTCGGTATTTTGAAGGTTTCCAACCGAAATGCTTGTATTTTGACTTTTAGGTTCTCGTAGAATAAACAATATAGAACCCCAGCAAGTGCTACTACTTCGTCAAAATTTTAGATTCGTTCCCTTAATACTCAAAATGCACAATTTGCTCAGTTTGACTAGATTTTTTAATTAAAACTCCATACATGGTAATAAATGTTCAGACTTTCAAGGTTTTATATAGTATTCACATTTTTTTCTTTTTTGGAAAAATAATTGGAAAATGTTTAGCTTTTACACCAAAAAGTTTTCAATTAATTTTGAAATTTACAGAGGAGGATATAAGTAACAAAATTATACAATGGACCCACATCCAATTTTTCTGTCCTTGGAAACCAACGGTGACCTCAATATCAAATTTAAAATGTCACCTCTATTCCTTCACCCAATACCAAAATTTTATAACATTTAGTACGCATATCCAAAACAATCTACGTTTCTCTATCCTAGACAACAAAAGAGATCCATTTGGTGCTTTTCGTACAATTATAGTATGCTTTTTTTTTGAAACCACCAACAGAAACCTCAGTAACATATTTTAAGATTCCCGCTCTTTACGTTTACCAAAGACAAAATTTAGTAACATTTAGTATTTTTCGTATAATTCTAGTACTCATTTGCAAATCCATTTCATATCTCAATCCTAGACACCAAAAGTTATCGCAATATACAATTTCACGATTTCAACTTTATCCCTCCACCCAACCTCATATTTAGTACTATTTGTAGCTTTTCGTAAAGTTCTAGTGCACATGTCCAAAACCACCTCCATATTTCAATTTCAATATCAAATTTGAGGATTCTGGCCCTGTCCCTTCACCCAATACCAAATTTAGTACGATTTAGTACTTGTAGCACAAATATAGTACCCATTTCCAAATCACTGCCAATTCTCAACAACCGATACCATTAGAACTCTAAATATCAAATTTCAAAATTTTATCTATATCCCTTCACCGAATACCAAGTTTAGTACCATTTTGTACTTTTCGTACAAATGTATGACGCATTTCCAAAAGCACCTCCAATCTAAATTCTAGATACCAACAGAGACCTAAATATTGAATTTAAGGATACCAGCCCTACCCCTTCACCCCAATACCAAATTTAGTACCATTTAGTACTTTTCGAACAAATATGGTACGCATTAAAAAATCACCGACAAATCTCAATTCTAAATCTTAAGATCAAATTTAAGAATTTTAACTTTATCCCTTCAATTAGAGTTCACCTTTCCAAAACCGCCTCCATATCTCAATTTCAGACACCAATAGAGACATCAATATCAAATTTCGGGATTCCACCTTTATCCCTTCACCCAATTTAGTACCACTTATTACTTTTCGTACAAATATAGTATGCATTTTCAAAACCACCACCATATCCCAATTCAAGATACCAACAGAGACCTAAATATCAATTTTGAGGATTCCAGCCCTATCTCTTCACCCAATACTAAATTTAGTACTTTTTATACATTTATAGTACTCATGTCCAAAGCCACCACCAAATGTCCAGGCTAGACATGAACAGTGACCCTAATACCCAATTTTGATTGCTTACCACTATCTGTTCACCCAATATCAGATTATACCAAATATAGTACTATTTAGTACTTTTTTTTGCACTTGTAGTACACATTTCCAGAACCACTTTTTTGTCGCAAAACTACCGCCAACAGGGACCCCAATAACAACATTTCAAATTTCCAGCTTCATTCGTTCACCCGTTTTTCCAAACTGTTCCAAATTAAGTACCATTCAGTACAGCTCGCACACTTAGTGCACATTTTTCAAAAACAACCTCATGCCAAACCACCCTCTCATACCAATTTTTTAGCTCCACCCCTTTACATAATACGAAGTTTTTCCATTTTCGAAGTTTAGTACCATTTTAGAACTTTTCATTATTTTTTAAGTTCGAATTATCAAAAACCCTTTGATACATCTTTCCTGCACTCCATCAGTTACTCTCATTCCGAACTTCAGAATTCTAGCTTTTCCCTTTGGTCCTATAGAAAATATTAAATTTGTAGTACATTATAGTACTTTTGAGAAGTTTAGTACCATTTTTGAACTTTTCCTAAATTTAAAGTTCGAATTTCCATAAACATCTATCCAGAACTCCATCAGTGACTCACATTCCAAATTTCAGAATTCTAGCTTTTTCCTCTTGTCCCGTAGAAAATATTCAATTTGTTCTCAATTTTAGTAGTTTTGAGAAGTTTAGTACCATTTTAGAACTTTTGTGTTTAAAATTCGAATTTCCAAAAAATCCTTTGGTACATCTATCCTGCACTCCATTAGTGACTCTCATTCCAAATTTCACAATTCTAGCTATTTCCCTTCTGTCCAATAGGAAATATTCAATTTGTAGTACATTTTAGTACTTTTGAGAAGCTTAGTACCGTTTTAGATCTTTTCCTAACAAGAATTTCCAAAAACCATTTGATACATCTATCCTGCACTCCGTCAGTGTCTCTCTTTCCAAATTTCAGAAATTCTAGCTCTTTCCCTTTGTCCATTACATTGTATTCAATTTGTGGTACATTTTAGTACGTTTCGTACCCTTTAAGTACGAAATTCCAAAAATCCAACCTTGTTATAAGCCTAAGCACCACTCTAATTTTTCAAACAGAAGTGACTCGGAAGTGCTTCCACAAAAAAATGGGAGAGAGAGTAAACTCCGCATGGAACTCTCATTCTTCGAGCAATCCCGCTCGCGAACTAGTTTTACTCCCGAGAGAAAACGAGCAAATAAGTGCTCTGCTATATTCGGTAGTGCATCAAAAATTATAACTTACCACTAATTTCTCCTTTCCACCATTCACTTTGTACATTTTTTGTAAGACTTCTTTTGTCTCCTCCTGCTTATTGATGGAGAGTAAAAATTTGGGACTTTCCGGCAGGAAATACATGGCAATGCCACACACGAGGCCAGGGATGCCACATACAACGACAAATAGACGCCATGGCTTGTAAACTAAACCCATAAAAGGCAAGGGTAGACTCCATTCGCGATTGATGACGGCAAACGAAAGGAAGGGCATAAACATGGCACCAATGGCGAATATGAACGAAGCAATCATCATTGCTTTGGAACGTGTGCGATCTGTGTGGAATTCACTGATGTAGGCATAGACGGTGGCCGAGGCACCGGAAACACTGGAAGAGTAGGAGTACAACAATTAATTAAAATACAAACAACAAATTATACCCACCACTTACAAAATCCCATTGATTAACCTTAGACATAACATGGTCCAAAAGTCCATGGCAAAACTGGAAATCACCGTCACCACAAACCCCGCTATTAATGTGGGCTTAATAACACGCTTCCTTCCCTTGGTGTCGGCCAAAAAGCCCCACAAATGTGAACTGATTATCATGCCCACATAACCAATGGCACTCAGCAAACCTTTGCGAAAATTTGTCAACTCCAAATCACAGTGGGCCACGGGCATGTAAAAAGCCACTGCCGATGTTTCCAGCAAGACATTGGCCAATATTAGACCAGCTACTATTATCACCAAGTAATTGAACTTGCCATAACCTGAGAACGAATTGAAAATTTTAGGATATCAACAATTTGAAATTTTGTTGGCATTCCACCGCCACCACCTACCCGTCCTTTCTAGAGCCTCTGAAAATGTTATTGCCTCCTCCAAGGCCTTGAGTTTACCATTTGTTGTCTTTGTGGAATCATTTGAAGTTTGAATTGGAAGTACTGAAATGAATCAAAATAAAAAATTTAATTAAATTATTCAAAATGAAACGGGTTGCATGATTAATTTTAGGAAAAAAATATTTCTCTCTTCTCCATTAATTATTTTTGATTGATAATTTCTCTATGAAAAATATTGGGGTTCGTGTTCAAAATCTGATAATAAATTGATGCTATGGGAAGCAGTAGAGAAATCTAAAATAAAAATAAACAAACTGGAAAGTTTCATAACATATATGCTCTCAGCAAACGACAATTTATTACACGTAACAATGTGTATATATATTTATAAGTTCTTAAAAAAGGGCGAACTCTATTGAAATTGGTGAGAATCGGTTCAAATTTAAATATAGCTCCCCTATATATGTTCAGCCGATTTCGTGTTAATTGTGCACTAAACGGCCCATATCAGTCCAAATGACCTGAATTTTGGCACATCCGACTGAATTCAGTCTAGAAGCAACTCATCAAATTTAGAGAAAATCGGTGCAGATATAGCTGTAGCTCCCATATACAGGGTAAGATGAAAAAACTTCACCAAATAACCAACCAACTTCAGACTGCTGTCATTTCTAAGCCACTCGTCCGACAGCTGTTAAAATTATTTCAGTGACAGCTCATTATATGATTTATAAGCGTACAAAAGCATTTTGGTGAGAATTTTCCAGAAAAAAAGTTATTCGTTATGGAATTCAAGCGTGATAGTGTGAATTCTATATATTTGGCTGGGAAACCACAAAAGGCTATCGTTAGAGCACTCCAGCATTTAAAAGTGAATAAATCTTTTGTGTCTCGTACCATCGCCCGTTACCGTGATACTGATAGCATAGCCCGACGTCAAGGAAGTGGACGGAAGAAAACAGCAACATCAGCAGAAATGGTTCGACTTGATCGAAACCCGCGTCGCAGTTGCCGAAGAAATGGCTCGTGAGCTGTGACATATAGCAATATTCCATTCGGCAAATATTGAAAAATGAGATCGAAGAAAAGTCATTGAAATTCCAAAAAGTGCAAGAACTTACACCGCAACAGGAAGAAAATAGACTCAAACGAGCTAAGGAGTTGCTTCGCTTGGCCGAAAGTGGCGAACTGCCGAATTTGCTTTTCTCCGATGAGAAAACATTCGTTGTCCAGCAGTTTGTAAACAAACAAAATGATGGTGTTTACTTGCCAAAGAGGTCAGCTGGAAATGTGCCCCTTGGGTTTGTCAACAGAACTCAAGCGCCGGCCATGGTGATGGTGTGGGCCGCCATAACAGCCAATGGTCGCTCTCCGCTCGTATTAAACGACCGTGGCATCAGAAAAAATGCCGAATATTATTTCGAAAATATTCTGGAGGGTGTATTGAAGTCTTGTGCACGCAAACATTTTGACCGCAGACCTTGGACATTCCAACAGGACTCAGCACCATTGAACTCAGCACGCGCCACCCAAGAATGGTTAAAAAATGAGGTTCCTCGCTTAATTTTCAGCGCACAATGGCTACCAAAATCTCCGGATACCAATCCGTTGGACTATTGTGTCTGGAGCATTTTGGAAAGCAAGGTTGGCACTAAAAAATACCAAAGTGTCGATCACCTCAAGCAAGCGCTTCACCGGGAATGGGCCAAAAAACCGCAGAGCAACATTCGGCAGCGAGTGACGGTTTCATTGGCCGTTTGAAGGCCATAATTCGTGCCAAAGGTGACCAATTCGAACAAATCTAAACTTATTCAAAAATTCGGTGCTATTTCCGACATTTTTGCTTTTATTTAATAAAATTTAAAAATTCTAAAATTCTAATTCTTTAAAAAATCCACGTATCGAAGGCTCTTCAAAAAATATTCTTTAAAAAATTCACGAAGAAGGCTCTTCAAAAAATATTCTTTAAAAAATTCACGAAGAAGGCTCTTCAAAAAATATTCTTTAAAAAATCCACGAAGGAGGCTCTTCAAAAAATATTTTTTAAAAAATCCACGTATCGAAGGCTCTTCAAAAAATATTCTTTAAAAAATCCACGTCTCAAAGGCTCTTCAAAAAATGATATTCTTTAAAATCCATATCTCGAAAGCTCTTCCAAAAATATTTTTTAAGAAATCCACGTTTCGAAGGCTCTTTAAAATATATTCTTTAAGAATTGCACGTCTTAAAGGCTCTTGAAAAAATATTCTTTAAGAATTGCACGTCTTAAAGGCTCTTCAAAAAAATATTCTTTAAGAAATCCACGTCTCTAAGGCTGTGCAAAAAATATTCTTTAAAAAATCGATGTGTCGAAAGCTTTTCAAAAAATATTCTTTAAAAAATACACGTTTCAAAAGCTTTTAAAATAATTCTTTAAAATCCACGTCTCGAAGGCTCTTTAAAAAATATTCTTTAAAAAATCTACGTCTAGAAGGCGCTTAAAAAAGTATTCTTTAAAAAATCTACGTCCAGAAGGCGCTAAAAAAATATTATTTAAAAAATCCACGTCTCGAAAGCGCTTCAAAAAATATTCTTTAAAAATCCACGTCTCGAAGGTTCTTCAAGAAAATATTCTTTAAAAAATCCTTATATCGAAGGAACTGCAAAAAATATTCTTTAAAAAATACACTTCTCAAATGCTCTTCAAAAAATATTCTTCAGTTGGAACCCATCAAATCAAAACCACGACCCTCTAAACATGATTTTTTTCTTGTCTTTTGAAAAATTTGCTTAAGAGATTTTAATTATTTTACTTACCCTGAACAACCATTTTTAGTCACTTATTTGTATTTAACTACAACTTTTATTTTCCTTTACAAAAAATGCAACAACAGCAAATTGTTTTCGCAAAATTTCCGCTTATAAATAACTGTTAGGGTTGCTGTTGGTGTTTTTTAACGACGGTGTAAAATGTAAAAATTATAAATTATTTGCCCAAGATAAGAAGATTTATTCAAATAAAAATGCAAGACGATTTTTATTACAAGAATTATTTATAATAAAAAGAAAAATACCAAGACATGATGTAAACACATGCCTAAACATGGTGAAAGATTTGTTGTAATAGTTTTATAGTTTTTTTTTTCTAAACGTAGACATGGAAATAAAAATATGATAAAATGCTATCATTGGCGATGGCGAGGTTTTAATACTCTTGAAAACTAAAGAACGAGAATTTTTTTCGAGGGAGAGAAAGTGCATCTTAGAAAATAAGTCTTATACTCGTGTGTTTGGCAATTTTGTTAGGAAATGGTCTCCAAAGTAGTCTAAATCTCGTGGTTACCGTTAAAGTGGGAGATTGAACAGATGGGAGATGCTTTTCTGTATGTTAAAATACATTATAAATGAAAACAAGTAAGCAAAGGCTATAGTCGTGCGGGGACGACCATGTGATACTCTACAACACTATAATATGTTAGAAGCCCCCTTATGCCAAATCCATTTTGAAAGATTTCGCTTTTGAAATTATGTCACGGATCACTGCCTTGATATTACCCTTAGAATTTTTTGTGCTTCATTTTGCACCTAAATTTGATCCAATGGTCATCCATTTTGGTTCATTTGAACCCCTAATTATTTTGCGATCTTCTCCAAAAGCAAATGGCTGCTCTGTATCTCCAAATTTAGTCTCATCTATATGATTTGCTTGTCTACGATTTTTGGCTATATTCCTCAATGAAATCAGTATTTTTTATATGTTTTAAGAATATCCTTTCAAGAATTTTGGGTATTTCATGAATATTATGTCATTAATCTTCTTATATTGGATTTTTGAGATTTTTGTTTTTAAGATCCATGAATTTTTTAATAGTGGTTTTTAAGGAATATTTTTCAAAGGCCATCAAGACTTTTTCGAAAATCCAAATTCGTTGATTTTTTCAATATTTAAAAAAAAAAATCAAAGCTGTAATCGTGTATTTTTGTAACCTCCACCATAGTATGGAGGGTATATTAAGTTTGTCATTCCGTTTTTAACACCTTGAAATATAAATATTAAACCCCACAAGGTATATATAGCGAGTTCCGTCCGTCGGTCTGTCCGTCTGTGGAAATCACTCTGGCTTCAGAACGAATTAAAGTAGGTAGATAAAACTTTACTCAAATTTATGTTTGGTCTGCAGGAATTTTGGTATTTAAAATGGGCTATATGGGTCCACGTTTAGGTATAGTCCCCATATAACTGTACCTTCCTATTATTTTATTTTAATGATTTTAGCTACATTATTGTTTACAGTCTATGAGAGAAAATTGCAGGTTCATGTGTTCGTATAACCTTCCTACATCAATACCTCCCTATATTATCTATTTTGATGGTGTTGGCTACATTATTCATTGGAATGGTTTCAAATTTCGTATTTGAAGTTCCTTATGGGTACTACAGTCTATGACAGAAAATTTTTTTATGCGAATACAGGTGTTCGTATAGCCCCCATATAATGGTACCTCCCTATATTGGGTGTTTTGATGTTTTTGCGACAATATTCACCGGAATTGTTTCAATTTTCGAATTTGAATACTATAATGGCCATTAGAGAAATTGGCAATGCTCATTTTTGAATTTCTAAATTCGTTCCATTTGGTGGAGTATATTCAAAATTCGGCCCGGCCGAACATACTGCTTTTTTACTTGTTTAATAATTTATGGCGTCAAGTATTTCTCGAACGCTATCGGACCATGATTAGGCATCTTTATACATGATCTGAAAAATTTTGGATTTTTTAGTATGATATTTTTTTAAACAATGCTATTTAGGAATACTTTGAACCATTTAAGAGGATTTTTCGATTGCAACCAAGCCCTTAATCGTGGGGGTTTCAAGAAGTTAGTCAGATATTTTTAAAAATAGTTTTTCGAAGGATATCAAGGACCTAATCAGGCATTTTTCTATGATGGTTTGGAATGGTTTTAACTTCGATTTTCCAAGATCGTCAAGGCCCCGACCTTTTAGAGTGTTTTTTCAATGACCACCAAAGCTTTAATGGTTGATTTGTATATCCTTTTGATTCTGCCATTTGATATTGGAAAAATGATAATCAGTAACGCTAGCAATCTTAAATGAAAT